CTTTGAGGCTTTTGCTTAGAAGCCTGCAGGGGGTAATCTACATTTTTGGAGGGGGAAGTGGAGAAATCTTGGCATCTTGAGCCTCTAAATTCTAACTGGTGGCTTGTTTAGCGCCGTGCGGTTTTACTGGGCTGTTTTGTGGAAGTGGTTCCAAATTATTTAACCTTTTCTTCCAGATACTGTAAGTCAGCCTTTGACTTGCATACATTCTTCTGCTCTACAAATTTTACAGATGAGGAAAACTAAGGACTGAGGATTAGGATGGCTCATCAATTATACGCTAAATTGGTAATTCTCGGACTTGACGTGCATCAGAAAAACTGATGGACGTTTTTCCATCAGTTTAAAAAACTGGAGGGATTTTTAAAACACTGATTGCTGGGCTCCACCTCCAGAGTTTCTGATTCAGTAGAATGTGCATTTCTAACAAGTTCCTAGGTGATGTTGATCCTTTTGTCAGAGGACTACACTTTGAGATCCACTGCGATAAATCAAACACAGGAGTCAAGTTGATTAGGGGTCCTGTAAACTAGCCAGAACCATTGGTATTCTTGTACCAAATCGATGTACTCAATGAGCCATCTTTTATCTCATTCCATTAGATAATACTTAGAGTTTCGTAAGTGCTTGAGAATATAAGGTAACAGGAATTGTTCTCATTTGAGATAAAAATTCTCAAAAATATTTTCTAATTAAGGACTTCCCCAGCCTTTTTTTTTCTTATGTTTATACCAATTACAAATCCTATGCAATTCACATGGTCAAATAACTGGCACGAGTCAGGGCTGAGCAGGCAAATTAGCTGCTGGGTGCTTAGTATTAACGTTGCTACTATCAGGAGAAAGTGGAGACAATTCTATTTTTTACATATGTATAAAAAATTTTTTTCTAATTTTGGAAAATTTGGTTTTGAACTAGATAGCTTAATTAGTTAAATATATTCTCTGGAGAATATCACCATTTCTGTTTTCTAATTTGTCAAGGAAAAATATAGCAGGGGATTGATTATTCTCAAAAATATAGAGACCCCTTGTGGTCATTCGTAAAAGTACTTTAAAAAACAGAAACCTAGAATATTCCAATTCGTCAAAAGGTTGCAAGATCTCTGGCTTAGCTGACATACATTAAAAAAAAAAAAAAAAAATATATATATATATATATATATGAATTATCTAATACCTACCAAAATAGATAAGATCAGTAATAGGACTTTACATAATGGTAACTTTTATAAATATATACTTCCTCCAGCCTTAACAGTTCTCTGTGATATATTAAAACTTTATTGAAGCATAAAACATGAAGGAAAGTGCACAAATCATAATTGTCTACCTCAAGAAATTTTCCCAAATTGGATATATCTGTGTAGCCAGCATATCTGGTAGATTTTTATCATAATTTTATAGGTAAGGTGACTCAGGCTTAGAAAGGTTATGTGATCTGTTATTTCATAACATCAATCAAATCCATTTTAACTTCATTCACTCAGAAATATTTCAATGAATAAAGAATTACAATAAATATTAACATAAAAGACAGTCAATTTACAGAGACATGATCAACAGTCCAGATATATAAATATCAAATTTTGTCAAATGAAATTACTTTTACACATAGAATTTCCAGAGCAGTAGACTAAACAGGCTATAATTTATTATTGTTATTATTATTATTATTTGTTGGTGGTGGTGTTTGTAATTGTTTGCTGTTGGTGTTAGTGGTGGTGATCTACTTTTTTTCTCCATTAATTAATAAGCGGTTATGGAGCATCTTTTATGTACCAAGCACTATTTTGGGTTCTTGGGGATACTAAAATGAATTATAATGGCTCCTTGCCCTTAAGAGGCTCAGAGTCTAATGCACAAGGGAGACATATAAACAGTAGTTTGATATAGTACTTTGTGCTCGAATAGAAGTGTATATATCTATGTGGACTAATTTTCAAGAAGGTGGCTGTGTTTTCCCCCAAGTCTACCCCAGGCTGGGTAAAGCTTGAAAGTCCACAACTTTCTCTCTTTGATTTAAAGCTAGCAGAGTGTAGTAGAAAATAATACTTGACTAGTAGTCAGGAAAGTCGTGCTTGAGTTATAGCTCTTTCACTGACTAGCTCTGGGATGTTGGACTCGTCTCAGTCACTAAACCTTATTTCCTCAACTATAAATTAGGACACAATTTGGTAGAAGCTCTGAATAAACGTGATTGGATAATAAGGTTTTTATATTACTTACGAGTGGCTTTTATTAGGATGGAAAATAACAGAGATTACAGATCAATGAAAGTAGATGTAACAGTTCTGTTTCTACCCCTGTTGTGATTTAAAAACAAAACAAAACACCATCAGGTTTCCTTATCTCATCTGTTTAATGATATTCTTTTAATGTTCGAATCTTTAAGAGGAAAAGCAGCACATATTCAGTGTAGAAAAGTTACAATATATCAAAGCAGAAAGAAATGAAAGCCACCTATATTTTACAAGGTTGATGTATTAATAAGACAACAACACCCGGAAAGCACCAAATAACAGTGGCTTCAACAAGATGCTTTATTTCTTCTTCAAGTAAGTCTGGAGGTTTGCAGACTGAGGTTGGTGTGCTGGTTCTGCTTCCCAACGTCCTTATGGGCTCAGGGCAGCTCAGGGCTTGGCATTCCTAGGGTGTGACCCTATTCTTCCTCCTCCAAATCAGCATCCACCCTCCTGGGACCAGCATGGGGGATGCGATGAAGAAGAGGCACAGGACCAACTGTCTCTTTAAAGAAGATCCCCAGAACTTGCCCTGCGGCATGCCCATTACATCCATTTGTTAGAACACAGTCACAAGGCCACATTTAGCTGCAGTGGAGCCTGGGAAACTCAGTCTTTATTCTCAGCAGCCATATGCTTAGCTAAAATTTCTATTACCATTGAAGAAGGGGAAAATAGATTTTTAGGGCCAACTGTCAGAATTTGCTGCAGTTACTTCTTTAGTTAAATTGCAAATAGAGGAATTGCTAGGTTAGAAGTTACGCTCACTTTCAAGGTGTTTGATGCATATTGATAAATTTCTCTTCAGAAGCTCTGTATACATTTATACTCCCAAGGACATATGCGAATACTTAATATTAAACACCAACACAGTAATCAATCAATTCATTCAATGTTTACTATACGGCTTTGCTGTTGGGAAGGTGTGATAGAGACAGTGCTCCGTGTCTGCTAGACCTGGGCTTTATTGTCAGGACTCTTCCAGCTGCAAGTGACAGATGGCCCAACGAGAGTGTTGACTTTATTCAGATATTGAGGTGATCGAATAAACGAAGAAAAGGGAACTGTAGAGTGTATGTTGGAATCTGAAGTTGGAGAATTAAAAATGAAGTTCTTCTGAAGAGGAATGGGAGTGGAGGATTCGACTGGTAGTTGTAAAAGTTTTGAGGCCTAAAGAGAGGAGAGCAAGTGTCATATGATGTCCTGTTAAGGTCATGGAGGGGCTTTTCCACATATGCTCTCATCAACTGCTCTATTGCTGGCAGTGTCCTAAGTTCTTTAGATACAGTCTCTCATGGAACTCCCATGGCGGTCATGTATTTTTATGTATCCATATTTTACACATGATGAAGATAGGTCAAGTTAGGGGTAGAACTAGAATTTTAAACCCCACCCTGGGGATGTCAAAGTTTTGCTCTTTCCCCTTCTACTCCGAAGAGTGAACTCATAAACAAATTTGGTAAGGATCACTTTTGCTGTAGCATTTGCATTAACTTAAGGGTATAAAAAGACATTATAAAATCTTTAAAAATTATAAAAGAATTATAGAGAATAACAAATGAAGTGTTGTAAAGGGAAGGAAGGACCTCATGAGATTTTGTCTCTTCCGGGGGCCTTTTCTGATGTGAGTTGGATGCCTGCCTCTCTTTTCTCATAGTACCTTGTGTTCACCCTAACACTGATAGTTCTCATCTCTGTTGTGGTGTCTATTTATTTTGCTGTCTCTGCCACCAGACTTACATCTTGGGTGCCAGGTGTCAGGTCTTACACATTTTTGTATTCCCAGGGCCCAGCGCAATGTGTGGAACTGGTAGGTGCTCCGTAAATCTTTGCTGAATGAATTATACAAGCATTCATTTCATGGTCATATTAAAGCATATTTACTGAAAGAGAAATTTTATTAATTTACTCTTATGCAAAATTTTGAGAGGTGTACAATAATAGCTAGACTAGTATAAAGGTATGATTTTGACCATGGCTATAATGAACATTTAAAAGGCAACTGAATTTGTGAATAATATGGAATACCTACGAAGTGCTGGGCTGTTTTGAGTGTTTAACATTGTATTTAATTATTTGATTCTCATAAAAACCTTATGGGGGAAATAGAAATATTATCTCCACTTCAAAAATTGGGAATATTGAAAAACTGACATGAACCCAAGTAGTTCTGCTCTAAAAATTCTGTGTTTGGGGCCGGCCTGATGGTGTAGTGGTTAAGTTTGCTCCCTCTGCCTCTGCAGCCCCCGGTTCCTGGGTCGGATCTTGGCTGCAGACCTACACACCACTGGTCAAGCCATGCTGTGGCAGTGCCCCACATACAAAAATAGAGGAAAACTGGCACAGATGTTAGCTCAGGGCCAGTCTTACAACAAAAAAAAATTCTGTGCTTAACAACTAGGCTATTTTAACTCACCATTGTTTGTAAGATTTATTATGGTTATTTTTATTATTTGCATGACTCCATACTACCATCTTCCAATGAAAACTCATAGATCCTTATCCTATTGTTTCGTCTGTTAACTGGAACTTCCCTTCCGCTAAAGGCACAGACTCTCCAAGGGAAACCCTAAGTATCTTTGGAAATTGCTGCTTTTATATCTGAGCAACCTCTACTCCACCTCCAAAACTGATGAGTAATTTGCAATCAACATTATTCCTTATGCACTTTAATAATCAGGGACTCATATTTTAGATTGTTTCCCCTAAAAAGCATCAATTGCACCTGCCACGTGACTCGCGTATTGCAGAGGCTTGCTGGCGCGCAGACAGTCCCGCATCTTTGCAGATTCGGCCCCACAGCTTTCTCGCCGCCGAAACTACACTTCCCAGCGGTCTGTTCGTCCGCGCGAACTCGTTTGGCCCGGCTCCGGGAGGCGTCGCGGAAAAACGAACGACGCTTTGCGGGGCAGTGTGGGTGGGAGAAGTACCGGGCGGACCCTCGAGGCGCTCCGGCCGCTCGCGCACCTGGCAATGGCTCGGAGGCAGGACGAGCAGAGAGGGGGCGCGCCCTCGATGGCGGAGGGCAGGTCGGACGCGGAGGTTAGGCTCATCCTGTACCACTGGACGCATTCCTTCAGCTCTCAGAAGGTGAAGGCCTCGCGGGCGGGCCGCGCGGATCGGGTTTCAGCACCAGGACAGCTCCCTCTGGGTCTCGCCCGGGTGCGCCGGCCCACCCAGAAACGGGCCTCCGACGCCCCAACCCGGGGGCGCTCCCTGGAGGGCAGGGGTGCGCCCGGTGGGGGAGCAGGCAGACTCAGTCTGAGATGGAGAGGCTGTGACCCAGGCACTGCCACTCATGAATTGCGACAAAAAAGCATCACTTTCGGTGATGCTGGAGGCTGGAGGCCTTGCCCCCTGGGCCTTGGAGAGTGAGGCAGAAGCAAGGGCCTTCCTGCAGCCGCGTCATCTACAGTTCCTTCTTTTCCTCATGCTTGTTCGTATTCACTCTCTCCAGCGAGGCCTAGCATGTCTGTATTTCAGATTCACGTAATCAGGTGCGGGCACACACAAAGCAGTGGTGATGGAGAGAGTGACTGTGAAATGAATATAGCTAGAATCACTTTCATGACTTATTTTATTATCTTTTCTAATTTATAAGAGTAAGACTGTAGAATATATCTCACTTATCAATTCCAACCATAGGAACAGTTAAAAAGAATGTTGCAAATATTAATAACTCGGGGAAGCACGGAAAATCTGCTTAGTGGTGTTCGGGGACGTGGTTTCATTGATAGTCTCTACGTGTTGTGGTAACCGGTGTGAACTCTTCCAGGTGCGCCTGGTAATTGCTGAAAAGGCATTGAAGTGCGAGGAACATGATGTAAGTCTGCCCCTGAGTGAGCACAATGAGCCTTGGTTTATGCGTTTGAACTCAACCGGAGAAGTGCCCGTCCTTATCCACGGGGAAAACATTATTTGTGAGGCCACTCAGATCATTGATTATCTTGAACAGACTTTCCTGGATGGTAATGTTAAGGCTATTTGTGATTTCTTGGATTTACTTTAAACACAAATATGTGTGTCCCTTTCCACCCACCTTCCTTCCCTCCCTCCCTGGTTCCCTCCCTCACCCCCTCCTTTCCTTCCTTCCTTCCTCCCTCCCTCCCTCCCTTCCTTCCTTCCCTCCCTCTTTTTGGTTTCATGATGGTGGTTTAGTGCTAAAAACCTTTTCCATTTCCATAAGCACACAAATATAAAATAGGTCAATGACATAAATTTTGTATAAGCCAGTGTAACTTCATTTGAAACATTTCATGTAAACTACAAATTTTAATGTTGAGACTTTCCTTTTCAATTCACTTGCAAAAAACCTTGCAGGTGTCTGGTTTGTAGTGGTGATTTATTAGCCTTGAAGTCAAATTCATAATATGGATTCTAAATGTACACTGTGAAAATCAGTTTCATCTCGTTTACCAAATGGTTCCACCTTAAAAACAATAGGAAGGAAAAAGAGGAATAAATATTAGGCAAGGGAGAATAGAATGTTGGTAAACTTGGAGATCTTTGCCCTTGTTACTTATGTATAGTTTGAATTTTATATCTTTTGTAAGGAATTATAGGGCTTAAATTTGTATTGTACTTTTAAGTAATAATCATTTATTGACAGCCTGTCTTATGTCAGGCATTTAATAATTTCTGTTCTCTTCAGTCTTCAAAAGAACGCATCTGAGACAGGCATGGTAGACTAATTACTCCCATTTTGTACATGAGGAAAGAGAAACAGAGGGGTTGCCTAAGGTAATATAGCTGTTTTATGACAGAGAAGGGCTAGAATGCAAGTCTTTCAAATCCAGACCTTCATGTTACACTGACTGTCTCCCATAGTCATTGCCACTTATATGTTGTCTTGATTGTTCCTAATCACAACCCTAGAGGTGAACTGTGGTTTCAATATTTACCTAAGATTACAGCTGATCACTGGCAGAATTGAGAGCAGAAGAGAGGGCTCCTAGCTTTCTGCTGAGTACTTTTCTGAACAAATAAGCTTCATGAAATCCAGTTACTCTCCATCTGTCGCCAGTTATGTTGATGTTAATTGGGGAGAAAAAACCAGAATATAACGCTAAACTACTAGAAGCTGAGAATGGAAATTACTGGCCCAAAAACATCTGAGGTATTTAGAAGGAAAATAGGTATGGGACCTAAATGGTGATGGTGGTAGAGAAACCCCAGGGAATTAGATTAGCAATGGGCTACCCCTATACGTAATCCAAGTGTTTAGTTCCCTAGGATGGTGATTGAAGGTTTTAATCAGAGGTGACCATTGATCTAAACCAAAGAGTTTAATGAACTGCTTTCTCCTTCACCATTACTTGCTATCTCTTATAAGTCTGTATGCTGGGAACTGTACTGAAAATGGTGCTTAATTGATTAAAGACAATTTTTCTCAACCTTAAGCTTTTTGGAAATGGACAAGTCTGTTAAATAAGAATTTGTATTTCTTGGGAGAAGTAATTATAATACTGTGAATAAAACAAAATAATTGCATAAGAATTCTATTTTAAATAATCAAAAACTTTAAAAAGATACAGTAAGTGGAAAATTATATTTAAATCTTTTGTTAGCATATTTTGAACTATTACTGCTACCATCTTCCTCCTCCTCTTCTCCTTCTCCTTACATTGTTTCCCCTCTAAGATGTTCAGTAATGTAAAATATGTTACTTTATAACATAGTAATGTTAATGATTATTAAGCTTCCTAAAATTTTCCTTATGCTTTGATTATACAATAACAAAACTGAAATATACTCTGAGTCTGGCTCAAACAAAGGAAATACTAAGTTGTTCTTCTTAGTATTTATTGAATCAGAGGAGAAAGCACTGTGAACTGAATGTTAAGATGAACATATGGAAACTAAGGATTTTAATTCTGGTTGTGCCAAGAGAATAAGTAAACAATCAAGAATCCTAGCTCTTAGTCTGAAGCTGTCATGAACTTGTTGCATATCCTTGGTGACTTGACTTCTCTGTTTGTCCTTTTGTGTTACGTGATATTGTTTTATCAATTGCAGAGATAAAGCAAGTCCAATCAATTCTTATTTCGCTCTTTCCTCTTTCCCAGGAGGGTAGTCATTCAGTTGGAAAGGGTTCAAAGAAGATTAAGATTAAGGGACCTAAAACCCATGGTAGATATGAAGACAGCAAGAAAACAATAAGTGATATAAATGAAGGCTAGTCTAGTCCACAGATGAGGTTTATCCCAAAGTATTAAAATAAACGACAAATGTGTAATTAAAATTTATATTTGTCATTAAGAACTCATGGAGATTAGGAGAAGAGCCCGACAAGAGATAGACAAATGTTATCCCAGTCGTCAAGGAGTGGGGAAAGGTGCATTCTGCCAATACTGGCTACTTAAAATGTGTTCCATTGACCAGCATCATTGGTGTCACCTCGGAGTTTGTTAGAAATGCAGAATCCTAGACTCTACTGCAGATCTCTTGAATTAGAATCTGCATTTTAACAAGATCCATACATTAAAGTTTGAGAAGCACTGCTACAAGTTACTGTGCATTAAGTAATTGCTTAAGCTTTAAGCAGTGCTTTAAATTACTGTCTTTAAATGTGGCAGAGTTCCAGAATGGATTGTCAAAACTTAAAATATATATGTGTGTGTGTGTATATATATATATATATTTAGTATCTCAGTTAAAAGGAACCAGCTTAAGTTTTACATTACTGGAGAATGTCTTTAAAACAAAAAAAATGAGTCTGTTATCTGCTGGGCATGGTTCTAGATACAGTGTATCTTGGTTTAAGTAGAGCATTTGAGATTACTTCATGTGATACCTTTGTGGAATGAAGGAGCAAATATGGCTGGATGAAAGTAATGCACATTTTCAGATGAATAAACCATCGTATTGGAGAATATTCATTTATAAATTTCTTATATCAGGTTGCCCATTCAGCTATAGATTTTCATTTTACTTATCCTATAATAATTTTATCACACTTTATTTTAATTATTTGAATTACTTGTAGACCACTGTAAGAACCATGAGGTCAGAGACGGTGTCTCATTAACAACTGTATCCCCAATGCTTCGTATGGTGAATGTTTTTTAATATAAGCTTAATAAATACTTTGAAATGATTAAAATGAATGAATTATTGAAAATAGATGTCAGCCTGGACAGGGATCGGACACTACTGGTGTTGTTATAGGCTTCTGTTCTCTGACTTGAGCTTAGCAATTCTATAAATGACTTGAAGAAAGACACAGTAGAAATACTATTACATTTGCGAATGACAAAAGCTGGGATAGTTAAAATGATGACTAGCTTATGAAATGCTTCTCATGGAACAATAATATGGAAAAATCAGTAAGATAAAGTTTAACAAGGCTAAATATGTATGTGAATTTTGTTTTTAAAAATCAGCTGCATTAATGAAGGATGGGAGACCTGGCTTGCTACTAAGTTACCAATAAAAGCCAATAATAAAATAAAAGGCTAGTGTAATCTTAAGTTGTTTCAGAAGTATAGGTTCTATTCAGAACATGGCGAACTGTGACCCGCTACATTCTAAACTGGTTATTTTGTTCAATTATGCATGGAACTTTCAGGAACGTTGACAAATTAGGATGATAATAAGTGAATGGATTTCATGAGGTGTATAGTTGCTCATGGTTATAAGAGGAGAGACTTTGTCTCCATTCATCCAAAGACCAGACTATAGTCATCTGGTATCTCCCTGTTATTTGCTGTCCCTTATTAGTCTATCAGCTGAGGATTGTACTAAAAGTGATGGCTTGCTGACTTCTTTCTCAACCTTTCTGTGTAATTAGTATTTTCATATTTGTATCCTCATGCTTTCGGGATAAGTGCATTAAGTAACTGGTAGTTTGGGGGTAAAAATTTGATAGCCAATGCAATCCTTTTCAAGTCTTAGCCTAAAAATGTGACTGTCTAAGTTGGATGATGGCTATGCTTGATTTTTTTTGGAGGCAGTTTCATGGAAGTCTCGTGTAGACATCAGTGATGTTCCTGAGGTCAGAACTTGGGTCAAAAGAAGAATTTAGAAGTATTCAGTAATGGCTGCTCAACCAAAGGCTGGCCAAGAGCAATCTCTTCATTCATTCCTTCAGTAGCCATTTATTGGGTATTAACTGGGGCAAGGTCCTGGGGTATTTCAAAGATCCCAAATCATTAGAAGCTTACTAATCTTCAAAGATTATTTTATGCACTTTTTAATAATGCCAAACTTGTCTGTAATGCATGCATGTACTATTGTTACTACTAGTTTTACAGACTCTCTTTCATGTACATGACACCTTTTTCTATCTGGGCATGTAATGAAGAATAGTTATATTAAAGCAAGCAAATGATTAAGCTCAATGAGATATGATAGGAAGCAAACTAGGGAAACTCAGGAGCAGTGGATGTACCAAGTGAATATACACACTAACAATGTAGATTTTAAAATCTAGATATTTCTTATACTAATAATAACCTCTTTCATTGAATTTTAACTTGGCCACTAGATGATAAAAAAATGTGGGCATGAAATAACTGCAAAATACTAAAACATATACTATTTATTACTGCCAGATAACTCAGTGGTAACCTGGAATCAAGGATATCATGTGATGAATATTGAATTTTGGCAATTTAATATATTATATAACAGTTCAAGATTATGTCCCATGTCTTATATCTATATATATTATTTGAAGTATTAGGAAATAGGATTCGGTTTGGAAATAATCAACGTATTCTGGTATGATATTAAAATATCACATATAAGTTTGATTAGGAAATAAAAATTTATTTTATAGATACAATTTTGTCACTATATGTTGAAAATCCACTGTATCAGATTTTAAAAAGAACATTAATTCTGAAGTCACTGCTGCATTAAAAAATAGTTATTTATGTAAGAAATTTCCAATTATTGTTAAGGTTCATAGAATAAATAATTTTGTGTCTTCAGTAAAAGGCTCTCGTACACAGTGGAATAACTTTATATACCTTTTAGCACATCTACTGAAATTGCAGAATAGCACCAAGTTTCTAATGAGTTTGGAGGAAATATGGTACATGGTAAGGAAAAGAGAATGAGTCTTTAAAACTCAAGATTGGGCCAATAAAAGTGGCTTTAAAAAGTAACTTTTTTTTCCCTCTCTGTGATTTGTCCAATTGTAGTGAACAGGTGGAGGTATTAAAATGCAGAAGTCCTAGTTCTATATTATGTGTATCCAGCAGTTCGAACAAACTGTCTAATAAAAGAGTTTTTGACCCCTGATTACAAATGTTTCTTTTAAAAGTCTGAAATATAATACCAATTAAATAAAAAGTAGTTAAACATTTAAGGTATAAAATTTATTGAAAATGATCGTATAAATTTGGCTCTGTCGCAGAAAATCCTGGATGCATATAGTGAACTTGTGTAATTTGACACCATGTGATTTTTCTCATCTGTTTAGATTTGATCTTTCTAGATCCAGAGTTATAATAGCCTTGAATTGTAGTCAGTTTGTAACCATATCTTTTGCTTCAGGTCATAACTGTTTCCCATTATTATTAGATTTTTTAATAGCCTACTGTATGAGGAATTGAAGGGTACAATTTTGTTCAGCTACATAATGCCTATGCATATATAGTGTATACTAATATCATCACTAAGTGATCTGAGTAAAATAAAAAATCAGCAAAGGAATAGAGTTAGAAATGAAGCCTAATCTGTTTTCCTTGAGCTAGTAAGGAAGACCTGGAAGTTATTTAGATAGACCTAGGGGGAGCCTTTCTTGAAAACAAGGCATAATAATGCCTCCTTTATCTGCCATCACTGGGGAAGGTAGGAAATCAGAGTAAGTGAATTCAGTAAAATAACGGAAATTTACGCCTTTAAGCCCGTAAATTCTTTTTATCTTTTGCTCTTGGGGAAACTGAATGTAATTTTTTTAAAATGGCTCAGGGCCCTTGTTGTTCTAACCAGCAAACGGGGACTTGAGAATGTATGGAGCTTTCTGTCCCCATTAAATGGCTGCAGAACACTTTTACTGTTTCAGATTTTTTTTTAAACTTTTGTTTTCTCTCATTGTTTATCACGTCTTTCTGCTTTATGTCTCTCTCGCTGTTTCTAAAGTGCTGCCTATATTTGGTGCAATACAAGACCTGCCTTGTCCCCTACTCAGTTCTTCTAGGAAGTCAGGTCTTATGCCTACTTATTTCTTTATTCTTATTTATTCTTCCAGCTTAGTCACTAATCCTGCTTCCACTCCTGTACTTATGTTCCCCGGTGCTGGGGACTCTTCTCATTGTCTGCTTCTTAAAAGTCCCTTGATTCCCCGTCCTGCCCCTGTAAGCCTGCTATTGCTTTCTCACTCCTGATTGAGGTACAATACCAAGAAAATATTTTCTTGTTTTTTAGTATTAGAACAAAGATGCTTTATGGAAGGATTGGAAAATAAAATAGGATGAGAATGAGAGGGAAGCTCTCCTGTGCAATTCAAAGGAAATTCCCGATTGTCTTTTGAAAGACTGTTTCCAGAGGCAGTGGGCACCGTGATGCTCTGGTGTGAGGAGGAGGATGGAGCACGTTGTCGGTGTGACACTGGACAGGGCATCCTTGAAGAGAGAAAGTGAGCCTGGAAGAGAACCTGGGTTCAGTGGGTGTCTTATGCTCTGTCCCACAGAGTGTTGCAGGAGGGAGTTATCCAGCAGTGGTGCACTGAGTAGAAGAAAATTATTCTCATGGATTTAAACATTTGTCCTCCTTTGACAAATTCAGGCTTGGCCAGATGGAACTTCCCCAGAAAGCAATTAGGCGTTGTTTTTCCTGCTCTCATTCACTTCCCCAGGAAGGAAGTGGTATGCTCTTCTGGAGACAAGCCCCAGGCCTGGCCCCAGAAGGCAGCCAGAGCCAGTAGCCATAAATTTAACCATTTGGGAAGCGTTTTTAAATGCTGTACCATTTATGATTATTAACCTGTGGTTCTTGGACTCCTAAAGCAGTGGTTCTTAAACTTTTTGGTTTCAGGGCCCCTTTGTCTTAAAAATTATTGAGGATACCCGAGAGCTTTTATTTATATGGGCCATATCTATCAATCTTTACCATATTAGCAATTAAAGTGGAGAAAAGTTTAAAGCACAAGAACACACAAGCACACGTCCCATGAATTGTCAGAGTGATGGAGTCATCACGTGTCACACAGCCTCTGGAAAACTCTGCTGTACACTTGAGAGACAATAAGGGTGAAAAAGCAATTAACATCTTCGTGTTACTGTAAAAATAGCTTTGACTTTGTGAACCCCTTGAGACTGTCTTGGGGAAGCCCAGGGATTCTCAGACCATACTTTGAGAACCGTTGCCCTTAGTGGTCTAGGAATAGAATTCAGGAGATCTTAGAACTTACTTGGGGAAAAAATTAAAATTATACCTTATTTTTACTAACTTCCAATGGAAATTTATTATTTCCTTTCATTTCCAATGTAGGCATAATCCACAGCAATACCAGGAGAGCCTGTGACTTTGTTACCAACAGAAATCACAGATATGTTCATAGCATATCAAGTTATTACAGATATCTTAAAATATCACTTATGCTCATAACTACTTTAAAATTATGGTAGACCTGCTGCTATATCTTGTTAACATATTAATAATAGGAACCCATATTCGTATTTTATAATTTAAAATTATTTTGATAACTATGTTTTAGTACAACCAATTTCCTTGCAGTCCTATATCTTGTATTTTATGCATTTAAGAACATTATTTTGAGAAGAGGTCGGTGGCACACAAAAGGTTAAGAATTCTGTATAATTTCAAGGGCCTTAGAAGACCTCCAGTCTGTTGTACTTATGAAGATGTCTACCATGCATTGCTTGGGATGCTGGTGAGATGCTGAGTGGTTAGCAAGGAAGTGTACCCTAGTTGGGTGAATCCGCTGTTGGTGAGCAATGTGTGGCTGACACTTCATTCTTGGTTATTCCACTGCAGCCTTCAGAATTGGACTCCCCTGCAGGGAATTAGACATTTGCCCACTGGTTTGAGGAGTAATCTGTCTTTTTTTTCTTAGAGAGTCAGAAATAGCCTGTTGGCCAAAAAAGCTTGTTCCACTTGGTCTGGCATTGTGGGATCTTGCCTGAAACTCTCTGCAACCAACTCTGAATTGTTGACACTTATGAATGAGTGTGGGATGCTCAAAAGGATTCTAAATTAAATAAATAACCTAAACTAAGCAATAAATAAATAAAGTTGAGGCTGTTCTTTTCACTTGTTGGAATAACCTAGTTGGCATTTTTCAGGGGCAGTTTGAGCATCAGAAGTGAGAAGTAATTCTGAAGGGCCATAGCCCTGATCTTTGGGTCATGTGGTTCATCTTTATTGTTCTTGGATAGTCTCCAAAAAGTAAACCCTTTGAAAATGTTATGGTAATGTAATAAAACAGAGGACTGCATTGGGAGTTAATGACTTTAGTTCTTGTTCTGCCTCTAATTAGCTGTGGGATCTTGGGAGAACTTCTTAGTCTCTACATCCCAGTGTCCTCATTAACTACTACAGAGGTTCTCCAGCTCAAATATTCTATAATAACTAAAACTTGGGAATATATTCATTAATTCATTCATTAATTAAAATTTATTGAACATGTACCATGAGCCAAACACGATATTAGGCACTGGGGATTCAACAGAGAACAGGACGTGGTCCCTGCCCTCAACGAGTCTATAGTCTAGACTTTAACCAGCAAATGAGGATTTATGTAGAACCCACTTTCCAGAGAAAAAATATTAGAAATTCCTGGTGAATTCCATGAAGATTGTCATTTCACATTCTCATAACATCAACAGGGTCACTCTTGGTATTTGTTGGAACCTAGAAAAGAGTGGTCCATGATCATCTTCCCAGAATGAGCTTTCGTTCACTTAACCCACCTTTACGAAGGGCCTAAAATATATGAGGCACCATGCTAGACCCTAGATCATAGGTTCCTTGCCCTGAAAGGATTCATGGGGCAAGAAGATACAAACAACTAATTAAGGTGATAAGGGCTCTAACGGATTGTGTACAAGGTATTTTGCATGTACGGAGGAAGGCACACCCAGTCAAATTTCGGTAGTTGTGGGAGGTCAGGGAATGCACAAGGAGTTGGCATAAATAACTAGACCTTGAGGGTTGAGTAGCAATTTGCAAGGTGGAGAAATGAGAGAATGCCAGTGTGATCACGGTTTCGGATCTGGTCTGGTACATTAGTCCATTTCAAATTTTGAATGTCTAGGCTGCGGAGATATTGTCTTTTAAATGCCTTGATATAATGTTGAAAATGTTAATGATGAGGGGGTTGGGTTATTGTTTTTGCTTGTGGATGTAACATCTCAGTAGTAACTTTTCCTTTAATGTTTGTGTATGTGTTTGTGTGTGCATTTTAGAAAAAACACCCAGGTTGATGCCTGATAAAGGAAGCATGTATTACCCACGGGTACAACATTATCGAGAACTGCTTGACTCTTTGCCCATGGATGCCTATACACATGGCTGCATTCTACATCCTGAGCTGACTGTGGACTCCATGATCCCAGCTTATGCAACAACAAGGATTCGCAGTATGTAAAAATCTTAAAGACCTGGAATTCTGTCTCAAGTTTCTTTTATTTCATTTTGAGACCTAGCACATCTCACGGTCATTGAGAGAAGACTGGGAACCGAGTTGTTGAGTTTGCTTCATGGACATGTATGTTATAGATCTATCCATGCACCTGTCAGATTAATCTGGGCTTCAGCTGGACACTTGTTGTCTGTAGGACCTGATTTCCAGCTCTTGATCTTGAGGGCCAAGCTTGGATAAAAGTCAGAAGAATAGCCTATGGAAAAGTAAAGACCATAACATGTCCTCATGGACGGATGGACTGGGAATCAGAAAGGCTTGGATCTGCTGGGGATTATGGGCAACTGAGTTAACATTTCTGGTCCTTAATTTCTGTTTCATTATGTGAGGGAGCTGGACTACAGGGAGCTAACCATTACTTTACCTCTAAATTCAGTGATTGGAGACTTATTGACATTGAGTTGGGATATCCAGCTCTCTCTCCTTGCCTCCTGTCCAGAGGGTAGAGTAGGGCCAGCACCTGAGATGTGGAGCTGAGGGAGGTGTGCTCTGTGGCACAGGCAACAGGGACAGGAAGGAAAGGGAAGGCAGCTGTGGTCAGACTCTGGGGTGTTTGACTAGGAGCACTCAAACCCGGATCTTCTAAATCCAGAAACTACATCCTTTCCATTCCCTCACAGCTCACCTTTATCACTCTCTTACTTATGTTATTTTCCTTCTTTTTGATACTCCTCCTCCTCTCTCCCTTCCCTCCTCTTCTCCACTCTCTTTCTCCTCTCTCTTCCTGCTTTTCACTTCCTTTTATTCCTCCTCCTCTTCCTAAGTACTCAAATATGATTTAAAACAAGTCTTCTGACTATAATTCTATCACCCAGAGTTAATATATTTTTTTAAATAAGCCTTTTTCTCTCCCTTCATAGAGAAGTTCATTACAGAAAAGTTGAAGAGTATTGAAAGGTTGATCCACTGCCCTGCACTGAGCTCTTGAGATGATGAGCTGGGCCTTCCTCCCAGTGCTTTCCACAGCGCTTCCCATTTCATCCTCAGCCCACACGGCAGATACTGATAGTTCCATTTTAACGGTGAGGAAACTGAGGGACAGAGAGGCTAAATCTGAGGCAGAGGCAGGGCCTGAGTCCACAGATGTTTCCACCACCGAGTTTCCCTGCTTCTCGTTTCTTGCATAGAAGGGAGGAAATAATTTTCTATTCCAAAAATGATTTTATTATCAGGCCAAATTGGTAACACAGAGTCTGAACTGAAGAAACTTGCTGAAGAAAACCCAGATCTACAAGAGGCGTACATCGCAAAACAGAAGCGACTTAAAGTAAGCAAACCAGGCAGTCCTCAATTGACATCCGCTGTTTGCATTAAATGTTCTACTTTTTGTAAAGTATCACTATTTCTAGAACATCGTCTATTAAATATTGCAAGTCACCAGTACACGTGTTACCTTTGGCTTGTGCTCTCCTTTTAGAAAGGATTTTTCTTTGTTAGATTTGATATTCAAAGCTAATGACAATTGCTTCAAAAGCAGGTAAGGCTCATGCTGGTTGCCAAGGAAAGTTATAAAATGTAAAAGCAAGTTAATGAAATATTCTAGAAGTCTCTCATTTCAGGTATTCTGCCACTTTAAGGCCTAGGTAGACCTCTATCTATGCTTTTTTTTTCCTTTTTTTTTACTGGTAAGGCAATCGGTGAGTTTATTCTTCTTTGTATGTATGATCCCCTCTCTCCTTGCATTATAATTATTATTTTTTTTTACCTTTTGACCCTGTTCACCCATTTCTCCCATCCCCCAATCTGTTCTCTGTATCTGTGAGCTTGGTTGTTTTTTGTTTTTTGTTTTAGATTCCACATATAAGAGAGATCATATGGTATTTCTCTTTTTCTGTTTGACTTATTTCGTTTAGCATAATGCCTTCAAGGTCTGTCCATGTTGTTGCAAATGGCAAAATTTCATACTTTTTTATGGCTGAATAATACTCCACTGTATATATATACTACATTTTCTTTATCTATTCATTCGTTGATGGACACTTAGATTGTTTCCTTATCCTGGCTGTTGTAAATAATGCTGCAATGAACATGCAGGTGCAGATATCTTTTTGAGTTAGTGTTTTCATTTTCATTGGATAAATACTTAGAAGTGGATGGGCCGGCTCTGTGGCTTAGCGGTTAAGTGCGCGCGCTCTGATGCTGGCGGCCCGGGTTCGGATCCCGGGCGCGCCCCGAGACACCACTTCTCCGTCCAACCCGAGGCCGAGTCCCACGTACAGCAACTAGAAGGATGCGAACCTATGACATACAACTATCTACTGGGGCTTTGGGGGGAAAAAATGAATAAATAAAATCTTTAAAAAAAAAAAAAAAAAAAATGGAATTGCTGGATCATATGGTAGTTCTAGTTCTAATTTTTTGAGGAACCTCTATACTATTCCCCATAGTGGCTGCATCAATTTACATTCCCACCAACAGTGCACAAGGGTTCCCTTTTCTCCACATCCTCGCCAACACTTGTTATTTCTTGTCTTTTTGATGATAGCCATTCTAACAGGTGTGAGGTGATATCTTATTGTGGTTGGTTTGATTTGCATTTCCCTGATGATTAATGATGCTGAGCATCTTTTCATGTGCCTGTTGTCCATTTGTATGTCTTCTTTGGAAAAATGTCTATTCAGATCTTCTGCCCATTTTTTAATCAGATTTTTTTTTGCTATTGAGTTCTATATATATTAACCCCTTATCAGATATATGATTTGCATACATTTTCTCCCATTCATAGGTTGCCAGGTTGCCTTTTCATTTTGTTGATGGTCTCCTTTGCTGTGCAGAAGCTTTTTAGTTTGATGTAGTCCCACTTGTTTATTTTTGCTTTTGTTGCTTTTGCTTTTGGTATCAGATGAAACAGTCATTGCCAAGACCTATGTCAGGAGCTTAGTGCCTGTGTTTTCTTCTAGGAGTTTTATGGTTTCAGGTCTTATTACGTTCAAGTCTTTAATCCATTTTGAGTTAATCCATTTTGACTTGTCTGCCTCTAAAGAGCAGGGCTTTGCTTCCTCAGTTACAGTCAGCATTTCTCTTTCTGGTGATTCCTTCCTCATGGCCCAACAACACCTTTACGTTTCCCCCATATTAAAAATGTAGCAAATATCAACACTCCCAGCCTCCCTCAACTTCCCACCTTTGTCTTATCTTAGCTAAATAAGCTTCTCGAAAGAAACGCCTGCACACACAGTGCTCCTGACTTTCTACCCCCTCTCTACCTCACTGCCTTCAGATTTCTCCCTCCTCCCTGACCCTTCAGTTATTCCTTCATGAAGGCTGCTGAGATCCTGTCGTGGAGTTGGGCATGAGAGGAGTCTCTTTGTGCCCCTCATATTCTTTGCCCTCTCTGGCCATTTGGTCCCACAGGAGTTGCCAGTGAGCAGTGGGTCTGGCCCTTGGGGTATTTTCACAGCTGGACGTTCCCCTCCACTTTGCTTTTGGTTTCATGAAGTTATTCTATTTCTTCTCATTGTCTAAAATTAACAGGCTCCAACTCATAAGAGTTTATATCTGCTTTGCTCTACATGGATTGTTTTTACAGGCATAAATAACCTATTTGGTTATTTCTGTTAATTAGTCAAAGCTGCTTGACCATGATAATGTCAAATATTTGAAGAAAATTCTTGATGAACTGGAGAAAGTCTTGGATCAGGTTGAAACTGAGTTGCAAAGAAGAAATGAAGAAACCCCAGGTAGATTCTCATTTGAATTCTTTTTCTTTTTTCCTGGAGACCAGGAGTATTTATGGGAACATTCTTAGATTTCACTAAAAACATTCTGTAATCTGTTTTTTATTGTTGTTATTCATGGGCAGTTTAAATTACGATGGCAGCAATAATATTGAATTCAGCAAAACTCGGGTGTCTAATTGTAACTCAGTCTGCATCTATGTGAAATATGACTGGTGAAGGATTTTTCTGCACAATTGAAGTTATGGTTGGGAGATTCCTACCTAGCCTATTTCACAAATTTGTAATTACAGTAGTTAGTTTGCTTGAATGCTCCCTCTAGTATTTTCCTTAGGCAGGGAGAAAACTTCCATTCTGAAGTACAGTATAAATGGGGGCCAGCCTGTGTCTGTCTGCAGGCTGGCTGGTGAGCATACACGTATTGCACCTGTGAACATGATAAAGCCGTTGCCCAGGTGCATGCACCTGGACCATTGGCGCTTTTCTAAGTGACAGCAAAGTTGAAGACCATGTTACCTGAAACTTGCTTCACAATAGAGACTTTCTTCTGCTTTAAAGAAGTAACTAAGAGCAGCAACCACTGAGTGACATTTCAGACCCAGCAAAGCACACCTGTTGTTTTCCTAAATCAGAAGGAAATATCGGTTAAGTCCTCTGGCTTGGGGGCTCTCAACTCCCAGAATCCTTTACAAAATGATAGACAGGCTTTGAGCCCAAGTGGCTCCACTTTCATGAAGGGATAGAGGTGGCTGACAGACGCCAAGGAAGTCTCCCTTAGCTTGGGATACATTTGCATGGATGTTTTTTAGGGTAAAATTACTCACTGAGTGATTGTCAAGAAAATGTACCATGGCCTTCATCTTTTGCTGTCCTCAGAGTTGCCCTCAAGGCTGGGACAAAAGATACCAGCTGGAGTCTATCTGTACTGCACTGGCTCCTAATTTTCCATATCCCTTTCTCTGATTAGAAGAGGGCCGCCAGCCTTGGCTCTGCGGAGAGTCCTTCACCCTGGCCGACGTCTCGCTTGCTGTCACTTTGCATCGACTGAAGTTCCTGGGGTTTGCGAGGAGAAACTGGGGAAACGGAAAGCGACCGAACTTGGAAACTTACTACGAGCGTGTCTTGAAGAGAAAAACATTTAACAAGGTTTTAGGACATGTCAACAATATATTAATCTCCGCTGTGCTGCCAACAGCGTTCCGGGTGGCCAAGAAAAGGGCCCCGAAAGTTCTTGGCACCACCCTTGTGGTTGGTTTGCTTGCAGGAATGGGATATTTTGCTTTTATGCTTTTCAGAAAGAGACTTGGCAGCATGATGTTAGCGCTTAGACCCAGACCCAATTATTTCTAGGCTTGTTGGGATCTAGTGGTGGTAACTCATCCAACCATTCCACTAGAACCCTGTCTACTCCTCCAGGCCCAGGGAAGAATGACCCTGGGCAACTAGTCAAAAGCATAATTTACTTTACTCTTTGGGTAGTTTATGTGGGGAGAGGAGGTGATGAAAATGCTTTTGTGGGCTGGTAACTTTGAGATTACTTATTTGCAAACCTGAGCTAATCTATCCTTAAACCACGTGCAAGGTCAAGATATGTAAATACTGACAGGTAGAGAATAGACCTTTACCTCAAAATGCCAGGTCAGGTTCTGGCATTTTTTAGGAGAAGGTTATGATGAGGGACAGACAGTAATAATAACCTGTGATGGCCCACAGCGCTTCATCTGGGATCGTCTGGATGTGCTGAGGGTTGAGTAATTCGCAGTTTCCCGTGGAATTCAGAAGTCATCCTTGTTACACAACACGAGTTCAGACCGCAGCAGGGCACAGCAGTGCTTCATACTACCACTGCCAGCTTCAGGCAGAAATAAGGGAGAAAGAGAAAAGGGAGAGAGGGAAAAGGGAGAATGAAGTCTATACAGTGAAGAGCTGTAGAACACAGCCTCCAGGTGCCTCCAACGCCACTCATGGCTGCCTGTCCCCTCAGTGAACATGACATGACTAATTGTGGCCATTGTCTGCACATCCTCCTGTAGCTGACAACCCTTGGGAAAAGACGACTAGGGAGTTACAGGAGGGAGTGGGCTGGAAAGAACTCTCGGCTTCACATTTACACTCCTTATCTGCCCTTAGTGTTAATTATAAGTGCGTATGAATCACACTCCTTGATTTAATGAGATTAACTGCTTATATACTTGGCTATGAGGTGCCCACTGGAACATGTCTGCCTGGCATTGACATGAAAATCTGAAGTGGTATCAAAATGGTTCCTTTCTTTTCCTCATGGTTCCCCAATTCTTTGGTGCCTGTGAAATATGACTCCTACGGACCAGCGTGTCCAGTTACTCGGGGCATGACCTCTACAGCCCCCTGTATGCACACAGGTGGCATTAGGTGAATGTCCCAGCTAGTCACTAGCATGCCATATGGCTGGGTAGTGGGTATTTTGATGACCTGGGAATACTAAGTATGTTCATTCTGCATTTGGGGAGGCTGGTGTGTTAGGAAAACCTATTGTCCAGGCCTTGCATCTGTTTATGCTCATCAATGAAGCCTTCAAAGGTTACAGAGAAAGAGAAAGGTCTAGTCTTAAGCCATGCAGTTAATTTAGGGTAGATGAAATAAATGGCTAGATGAGATGTCCACCAATATTCATTCGTGTTGGTCTAGGCTTTTGGGGGGTACCTCAGTCTCTCTGGAAGGGACAACCCCAGTGTGTCCCATGAGCAAGCACGGAACTGCACCATACAGTTTCGGCTCAGGAAGCATCTTCCGTGGTGACAGGAAGACAGAGTTTCTCTGGAGCTGGCCAGAAAGGCCTTGGGAGCAGATTCAGGCGTCTGGCAGGAAGTGTGTGTAGAGAACCATGAGTTAAGATTCCAGCGAACAACAGAAGCTTGTCTGGACTGCCTCAGGTTGGCTGTGCAGAACAGCCAAGGAAGGGACTGACTTTTTCATTCAAAAGAAACTGTTGTACTTAGGAAACAATGACTTTTTGATGGTAAAATGATTCCATAATTCCATTTCATGGTCTAGTTGTTTAAGAAAATCTTAATGAACTGGATGTTCCCTGTTTACAAAAAGTTAAGAACATCTCCAGTGTCAACTGAATCCAGTAACAATTAACAGACCGGCAGCTTTCATAATGTCTTAATTTTGCGCTGCAGTGCGTTGTTGTGGAGAGTATCTGAACTTGTTTGTTGCTGGCACATTCCAATCCATGTCTTCATAAAACAGCCACAAAACTGATTATTCGGTAGTTAATGGTGTTTCAGGGTACTTTATGTCACCCTGTTAGAAGCAAGAACTCAGACAGGAAGAAATCAAAATTGGATTTTTATGAAAATCTACAAAAGATATTTACCTATGTAAGGGTTGTTGATTTAAGAATAAAGGTTAGAAGCCCAGTGCTGGCTTTTCCTTAAATTTATATTGTTATTGAATCAGAGAAAATCTACTAGGAAGTGTTTATAATTTTCTGATACAGTTTCACTGGAAGTATGCTTGTGTCAATATTAAGGATGACGTATGGTGGCGATTTCTTGTTTCACGGATACCCTTGAGTTTATACTTAAAATGTTTGTTCAGAAATGTAATGGCCACTAGATGTCGCTGTTCATCCAGTAGTCTGAGATGGGGCGTTCTTGAGGTTCAGTAAGCCTTCTGTACTGTTTCAAGTGAAGATAAATGTTGATGACCCTAGTTTCTGAAGTGAGGGCATCTTCATCAGATCATTCATCTGTAAAAAGCTGGAGGCACATGTAGTATTGATTTCTAACGCTTACGAGGGATAACAGTACCACACAACGTCAAGCTAAAGAGCTGAACAGATGCTATTAGTAAAATAGGCACTTTGCTGTATTTTCTTTTTCACAATCATTGGTGACTGGCCAGTGTGCGCCTCAATTTCCAGAATGTGTATAAATACCACTATTAGAAAAACGCCTGAGGGACTAAATTTATGTTGGCTATTTATGTCTTAACACATAAATACTATCTTACTGTTATTGCAATTATATGCCTTTTGAATCCATTTTCCTTGATTGCAGATAGTTGTAAATTGCTTGCTCGATTTTCAGTAATTACTGATATTGACACCAGAGTTGTAGATTTTTTGGTGTTGTTGAATGTAATAGAGAGATCAAGATACTATTCTGCCTGTAAGATCAATAAAAGTAACTGGAAAATAAATATGTCCCGAAAGTACTAATTTTGTAATCTTTTTGAGAAAACAGATGTATTTTTTCATTTAAAATCAAAGCATAATGTGGTAATTAGAGTAAAATAAGCAGAAGTTAGGTATTCAAGATATTTAGCTAGAGGATGCTATATTTTCCTTGTAACATAAAAATTACTGACTCATGATTTGTTTAAAAGCACACAATTTTGTGGTTAAAATGAATGGCAGCTTAAAGAATAATATATTGATTCTGATCATTAAAGGAATTCTTATGCATCCAGCCCCCTAATAGGAGATAGCATGAAAATGATAAACACCAAGGGAGTATTTTTTTTCAAAGTAGTTTTGTTACATCTTTATTAGGTTTCAAATATTACTCTTACGATATTTATCATAATGATATTTATGATATTTTTGATATAGCTAATTCTCTTCCTTTTATTGAGTTGTGGATTATGAATATTCAAATTGCCATCCATACTTCTAGCCTTGGTAAGCTTAGCCATTCTTCTAATCATCAAATAGAAACTGAGTGTTATCTTTGTTATACATTGAACAAACCAAATTAAATGAGAGTCTAATAGACTTTGTTTTTCCTGGGTTTGCAAACAAAACAAAAGGCAACAATATTGAATACTCATGGAAAGTCAAGTGAATATATAAGTCTGTAGCCTGCTCAGAAAAGTAAAATGTACCACAGTAAAGACACAAAAGTCAAATTAATGCAATAAATAAATTAGTATTTAGATATAACCTTCACATCGTTTATGCCAAATACTTGGCCCATTTATATCGTTATTCTCTATTTATTCATATTAGAATGTCTTGATTTTCTATTTCCCAAGAACACTTGTGTTTTACTAGTCAGGGTAGTAGATTCCAAACCAAGTGAGGAAGTATAATTTCTAGAGTGAGGATAATAGTTTTGTTTTGATTGTGTTTTACATTATGAAAATGAAGAGAGAGAGAGAGAAAGAGAACTAGCTTCATGGATCAGAAAGGCAGGACATTGAAAGCAATACCCTGCATTATTTGCTTCTGAGCTGAGCCCTGGATTTTGTCTTAGGAGGGAGGAAGGGCTGACAGACATGCGTCAGAAGTTAGTGGGGTGGAGCAGGGCCTGAGGTATAAGACAACAATATCATGTGGAGGTTGAGACAAAGCATGCTTGTGACGGGCCTTGATCTACTCTCTGATTTCAGCAGGGTGGTGTATCGTACCCATTGTACCTTGTTGTAAAACTCCTCTGGGAAGGTTAGAAGATGTTAATGAAATGTAATGCAAAAGGTCAGGTTTCTATCCCAACAGCAATATTCACATCCACATATATAAGTTAATTCCTAATCAAATAGGTAACTTTTCAGGCATATGGCCAGTATATAACTTTTTGTATCGTCAGCTTAAGCTATCTTTGGAATTTAAGAATTTGATATACAATAAAGTCACACATAAACATCATCAAATACACATCATGATAAAAATATAATGATGATATACATTCATAGATTCCACATTTATTAAGTTCAATAGTCAAAAGGAAGTAAAAGTTTACATTGAGAAAATGATATGAACTAAAAATTATTAGCACTAAAAGCAGAGGTGGCTATGTTGTAAAAATGGCCACAGAATCTTCTCATTCCTCCACTCATTTCCTTGCAATGTGATGTTACAAATCCTCATCAACAATCCTCAGAGCATCGCTACATTAGGCTTCCCAGAGAGGAATTTAGCAGAGATATTAGACATCAAGTAGTGATGAAAGTCACTGGATGTCCTTTCCAGGAAGAGTGGAGGGCTTCATTCTGTTTTTATTGCCGTTGAGTCGATCCGACTCCTAGCGACCCTGTGTACAGCAGAGCAGAACTCTACCCGGTCTTTTTGTGCCATCCTCTAACCTTCCAGAGCTGTATCAGACAGTGCTCTGCTCCTATTCATAGGGTTTTCATGGCCAAGTATTTTGGAAGTGTGTGCTCAGGTCCTCCTTCCTAGTCTGTCTTAGTCTGGAAGCTCCACTGAAACCCGTCCACCAAGGGTGACCCTGCTGGTATTTGAAATACTGGTGGCATAGCTTTCGGCATCACAGCAACACACAGCCACCACAGTAGGACAACTGACAGATGGGTGGTGTGGTTCCCTGACCAGGAAGTAAACCCCAGCTGGGGCAGTGAGGGTGCGGAATCTTAATCACTAGACTACTAGGGCTGGCTGGTGGAGGGCTTCGTTAACACCATGTTAATCTCCCAGGCAGAAGTAAGGACCATGCCCTAGAGTAAGGCCTAAGTTAGGCCAGAGGTTTTCAATGTTGGCAGTACTGATACTGTGGGCCAGATAATTCTTGTGTAGAGCTGTT